TGTAGGGTTATTATGTGGCCTTAGTCATCCAAACACTTTCTACAATTTTCATTTATTATGCTTTGTTAAGCCATTTTTATCAATGATTTGCATATACAAAATGGGCCTCAATGCGACTTAAGAACGGATAGCTGAGTTGTTTGCACTAATGATAAGAAATACCACTAGCTCTGCTTTCCAAAGATCCCCAAATGATACAGAGCCATGGTTTTGTAATGCCTCTTAGTGGTACGTCGCCAGCCCGCCACACAATCACAGGGCTGATGCTACATCCAAAGCACGTTTAGGTTGGAAATGTTAGCTCCGAAAACATGTATTTGCCGTTGGGATGATCAAAGTTACTTATTTTCGATATAATTCCATTTTAAAGCTATCATTCATGCTTAGACAAGAAGTGAGACGACTTCCTTCCACAATTATATTTGCCCAGTGGACTGTAAAAATCTGTATTGCAATCTTCTACACCTCCGTCTTCTGCCTCAGTGTGTGGAATCTATAAACGCAGTTTACATACTTTGATTGGAACAAAGTGGCAGGCAGCGAGAGTCTTTGGAAAAACTTGCCCTAAGGCACAGAAGAATATAGTCAATGGTAGTTTGTTATAGTATCCTTTGCATTTACGCTGGGCATAGAAATGTGAACCAATTGACGTCAGCCTTCCTCCAATTAGAACCGGCATACGAGTTTGGAGTATTTTAGGAGGACGATCCGCGTATAAGACGTACTTTCTTGATTCGCTCCAATAATAGTGAGAACTTAATCCTCCCTTTTTGCCATATTAATTAATAATCCCTAATTTTGAAGAGAAGTTAGTTGGAGTGAAATCAGAGGTGAAGGGGAAGAGGAGGCAAAAATCTCGCCAAGCTGTAGAAAATAATACGATTCCGGTCGCCTGTGTCAGAGACAGCATTCTATTCTCCCGGCCCGTTAGCACAGTTTTTGAACAATTAAACAGCTAACTACTAGCATAATTTGAGTAGAAGTAGAGAGATTGAGGAAAGATCAGCGAGTCAAGAGCAGTCTTGCCTACCTTAAGATTCCGAAACTTCCTATTCAGCCCCATTTGGTGGCCTTTATTATTTCCTATTTTATTTTCTAAATATTCATGTTGTGATCTTATGACATTTCTTTGTATGACTTCACTAGGGTATCCGATACTAAGGAAAATCGTAATAGTTTTCTTTCACATCCATTAGTCGCAAGCTTCTGATCATCACACTCATTTTCTTTTCAATCTTAAATTTGCAGTTTTATTGAAACCTAAAATTTAGAGAAGTCAGAGTGACTTAGTGGAAAGCACTTAGTTCGAAGTTGTCTGCCATAGTAGTTATCATGATTCCCAGCATAATACAGTTGACTTGCTACATTCTCAAACATTTCCCTGGCATCGTAGTCGGCATCGTCAAAGATCTTGATACATCAGGAGCCTACACATAGGTACAGATTTGCCGTGATACGCAAAACCATGGAAACGAATGAACAAATAGTCCTTCAGGTGGACAAAGGAGGAGCTACAGTGATAATGGACAAAAAACTATGTATCGAGAAGATTGAACATATTATACGATACAGGATCACACATCATATACTAAACAAGGACCCAAGTATGAAAATCAATGGAATTTTAAGTGCCATGCTGAAAGCCTACGCCTAACGGATGTAGAATTCTAGGACGAGGAGCTGGAGAAATTGACGAGGAATATGCTCAGCAATGGCGCTCTGCTCAGTGAAGCGGCAGTGTACGTGCTTATATGGCCGAGTTCTATCCCTTATTTGGAGGAGTTGACAAGACACAAAGTCTGCACTGCATCCTAGGCTCGAAAACCCGCTGTCGGCTGAGTGACGGCGCTTGATGGGGCGCAACCGGTCGACGACTTTCCATTTGCACGCGACGGCGCCGGCAGCGGAAATAGGGCTTGTATGGTAGAGGCAGCCGCTTCTTCTCCGACTCCACTGCTCATGGACGCGAATTGACTGGCGATGCATGCATATTGTCGCAGCAGAAGACAGTTGAGGCAAGTGAGAGACGAGCACACCAAATTGAAAGATGACGGAACGAGTGGAAATTCCGATTTCTGCTCGTTTGGCTCAGGCGAACAGGCAATGGCACGCAAGCAATTCATTAGAGTAAACAATCTTGGACGTTTCAGTCTGTAATCATGACAAATTCTTTAGTGTATACGAACACTTGCGTGAGCTCGAACTCTCATTTGTGCAGTATCCAACTAAAAATCTAGTGGAAAGATATCTTAAATAAATTACCATAAACCAGTTGCTAAACCTATTCTCATCGTATAGGAGTAACTTGTCTTTTTTCGCATTTGTGAAATATACAAAAAAATTCCAGGTGATACTGCGATTATGCTGAATATGCTCTAATTTAGCTTAAAATAATCATGTACCAATTCGCACTGTTTCAACCCCAATTTCATTGCATTTAAAGCCTTGGCTCGGTGCAAGAGCACAGCTCAAGCGAAAACATTCCAGCCATCAGGACGATCAGGGAGCCAAGTGCCAGCGACAGACGAAACCTGATGGCGCGTATCAACGCCATTGTACCGGATCATCAGGCCCGGCTTAAGAGCATAGAGGTGAGTCACGTCAAGTTATAACCTCCTGACTCAACTATACACAGTCTTGCAAGACGATATCAAGCAAGTAAAATCTCGGATTAAGGATCCATATTGTATGTGTCTCCACTTGGAAGGCTTTCGTACGAAGCCTCTGTGGACATCAATAGGCGCTACAGCAAAAGTACCACTGCTCTTCGTGTGATGCAAACCCACAAAATGCAAATGTATGATATGTTACAATTAGCAAACTTAAAAACGTATTGGAAAGCGTTCATATCCACTAGTCCGGCCAGCATATAAACATGGTGACAACATCTGTCACTCCATCAGGCCTCCTGAAGGATAGATCCCCGAAAGTTGAGTCGCAAAATGTGACCACAACCAAGTCTCGTAGACTCATGAACACTTGATGTCTCATTTTGGTGGAAGTAGTCTCGAGTACTTTGCATCCAAGCTAAACTCTTCTTTAACACCATTTTCGTGTGCGCCCTGTCGAGGTGTGGAAACTAGTTTGCGATTACCAGGCAGAAATGTTGTCGAATGTCGCATGGTACCAACAACGAACGATCTCAAAAAGCCTACCAAATTAGGTACTAAATCTAGTGACCAGTGAGGCCGAAGCAGGCAACTCAGGGCGACATTAACTGCTTTCTTTTGTCGCCGGTTTCACTTGTCACGGTATTGTGGCATTTATAACGTTATAGATACCAAGAGTAACTGGTTGGGGAGACTTTCAATTCGTATGAAGGTGCATGATGCAAAGTTTCGAAGCTCGATCTCACCACAAGGCAGCAAGTGATTCTCGTTTTTCTGCCGTCGTTTGGCTTTGATACAACGTTCAGGTTGACGCAGTCCACGCGATATCCTCCGTCGTTTAGGGTGAAAACTGGCCTAGCTTTTGACCATCATATGATGGACAGCATCAGAATTAGAACTCATTCTTGAAAAAGTCACGCTAACACCAGGCCAATAAGACTACAGGCGTTATTTTACCTCGTATCTAATACTCATAGCCAAAAAAACAAAAGTAAATAGGCATAGATAAACACAGAATTGTTTGTCTAATTGCGTATAGACGTTAGCACACACACACACACACACACACACACATGCACTCGATAAAAAGTAGCAGGACTAGTATGAAAGATAAGTGGCCAAATCGCTCTATATCAATCTGTGTGTATACATTTTTGTTTTGTATTCATAAATATATATGAAATGTAAGATAGAGCCAGACGGTCTTCTTGTCTTGGTGTTAAACGTGAGACTTTTACAAGAATAAGTTCAAGCTACGATGATGTCCATCATATTATGAACGAAAGCTTAGCCCGTTTTCACCAGAAATGAGAGAGACTGTCTCTGGGAATGCACTAACCTGAACGACGTATTCACACCAAACGATTGCAGAACAACGAGAATCAGGCGTCATCTTCTGGTGAGATCGATCTTCGAATCGCTTCTTCATGCATTTTCATACCAGAGGCAGGTCTCCCCAACACTTGTACCATTTTATTTTGGTAGACTCTGCTTTATGGTAAACATCTTGCGGAATATTGCTCTGTTTTCCAAACATTGGCAACGGCGCTAACTACGTCCCGCTGAGGGGCAGGAAGTTGATTAAACCCAGACAAAGTTGAAACTGCAGTCCACTCCATCCGGGATGAGAATACCTTTTGGAAAGTCCAATGCAAAGATAAGGTCTACTCATATCATTGTGGGAAAATTCAATTACCATCAAATAGGTTGATCGCTCACTTTTGAAAGTGAAGACACTTTCAGTAGGGCGGAGATTTTATTTTTTAAAAATTTATGTTTAATACTTAATCAAGTCATTATATTGCATTTAAATGTATTTTTTATGAACTGTTTCTTTTCTGGATGTACCACCATACGTCGTCATGTTTCATATTTTGTTTTGGGTAGGTTTTCGAGACTGACAGTAGATCAGATATGTGAGCTGTGTCCACCCAATTTCGTTTAAGATGACGCGGACTGGTAGCCGAATTTTCTCGCAATCATGCGTAGACATGGCGTTTCTATTGAATTTCGCATAGCTTTGCCTTGGCAAAATTCAATAGAAATGTCATATCCATTCATATAAATGTGGAAAAATTCAGTTGCCAGCCCTTCGTCACCTTAAACGAAATTGGGTGAACACAGCTCACCTGTCTGATTTGCTGTTAGTCTCGAAAAACTACTTTAAACGAAATATAAGTAACGTTGTCTATTGCTATAGGAAATACAATGTCGACAATCCCACCGCAGAATATGATATGGGAAAATTGTTGGCCTACCTTAAAATGACGTTTGACCCGTGACCCAATGGCACTTATGGCAATGTGGCATAGTGAGCAACATAACGAGCTTATACGTTGCATTGTCATGGTTCGCGTCCTGCTGAGAGTGCCTCTGAGAACAATTCGAGGTCTAAACTGCAGTCCCTACGAGACGGGATGCGAATGCCTTCGGGGAAAGCAGGGCTATGCGAAATTTGATGGAAACATCATGTCTACTCATATACTTGCAGACAAACACAACTGTCAGTCGTTCGTCACCTTAAGCCAATTAGAGTGCACACACATTGTCCTGTATTGCCCGGCTTAACAAAACGATTTCGCCCATTCTTGTTGTTACGTTATAGTCTGCTGATGAGCTCCGGCTGCGCCGAAAGAGGATGCTTCGAGCCCAGGAGTCCCTGAGGTTCGAGAAGTCCCTGGAGCTGGCTGCTCGCAACCTGAGGCGCAGCGCAGAGTCGTCAGTGCCGCACTCAACTAGCGCCTCTTCCGCATCGACGGTCGCCTCCATCACCATGCCACGGAAACTGGCCGGTTGTCGGGTGCCCACCGTGTCAAGCACCTCTCCAGGCAAGAGGGAAGGCAGGACTGGCAAAAAGTCGGTGACCTTTGCGGAAAAGGTGGCCACCTCGACGGGCCGAAAGTCGGAAACGACGTCAGGAAGGACGATGCGGGTCTCGCAACAGATACAGCACAATCGGCCTGAGACTACTACCCAGTCGCCTACACGAGAAGGTCACTTTGAGGCTTCTCAAGTGAATGGGCCACTGTCCCGAGTGTCCGATTGTGAGTGTCGAAAAATTGTTTTACCGTTTTACGGTTGCTGACCAGCTATCTATCTATCTATCTATCTATCTATCTATCTATCTATCTATCTAGATAGATAGATAGATAGATAGAT